AATTTAGAATGTCAGCATTTGAATAAATGTTAATAATCTAGTCGGCAGAGGCCGGAGAGTTACTGTTGGTGGCATTTCCTTGATAACTCGGAAATAACTACACAGGAATACTTTAAATGATGAGTACAATAACAGGCTAATTTGTTGACAAAGTATTTTGTCAGGAAAAAAGTTATTAACAATTTAATCGTGAAAAAAATTATTTTAGTAGTTTTCTTTAAATAACTCGGCGGGATGAATTTGTACAAAAAAATGCTTAGGACATGATTTTGTTCGTAACAAAAATAGCTACAAAATGGCGTGGTCCTATTACGAAATTTGCAATAACAAAGCCGTGAGAATGAAAAAACGGTATAAAACGTTGCTGTAAAAATGTCAATTATAAACGAAAAGTGAAAAAACTTTCGAAAACTATAGTTCAATATACAGTGTAGGAAAGTACCGATGGTCTATCAGAAGTTACGTGAGAGCGATAAAGTAAGCCATAGAAATCCATGTGATAGACAAGGATGGCTATAATGAAGGCGTCTAATAGTCAACGCACATTTCGCCCTTCCACAAATAAGAAGTGGCCCGGCTAACAGGCGCAAAATGTTATGTAGCTTCTAAACTATGAAAATTATTATTTTTATAGGTAATTGTGCTGGTTAATCTACCGCGATGGAATATTTTATAAATATACATATATATTTTTCCAAAAATTAAAAAAAAAACGGTGACGTATAAAACTAGGGTGACGTATAAAATCTTACCAAAGCTGCAAAAATGAAGATAATTGAATTTTGCAAATTGCTTTTGGTTTCTGCATATTTACACTATGTGTGTACCAAATTTCAAGTGTCAGCNAAACTAGGGTGACGTATAAAATCTTACCAAAGCTGCAAAAATGAAGATAATTGAATTTTGCAAATTGCTTTTGGTTTCTGCATATTTACACTATGTGTGTACCAAATTTCAAGTGGCAGCAAAGCTTCGAACAAATTTGACAAAGTTTCGAGTTTCAGATGCCTATGAATGTATAATACCTTATAGAACAAAAAGTTTTGCTCTATTGATTTTCGGCTTTAGCGTCATTTCTTCTTATTTGTGGAAGGGCGAAATGGGCGTTGACTATTAGACGCCTTCATTATAGCAGCTTTGGCATCATTATTGTATATAACGAGCGTTCAAATAAAAACGTGGTCAAGTTGGTTCTGAAAATTTGGACGTAGGGCGTAGCGTATAGCAAATGAACTTAAACGTCATCTGTCAAAGCGCTATATCGCCGCTATCAATTTGAATATTTTCTTTTTAAAAAGAGTTTAAAATGGTGTTTTCTCAAGAACAAGAAGTGTTTATCATAGAGTCCTACTTTAGAAATGGACGCAAGATTGATGGAATATGGAAGTATTCTATTGAGGAATGTTTCATAGAATTTCAAAATCAATTTCTCGGCGTTGTTGAGTACAACATTTTTTAAAGTGCAGTTCAGCATTGTGATAATGTTTTTCGTGAAACGGGCAGTGTAACAAGAAAAGAAGGAAGCGGCCGACCAAAAATGCGGACTGAAGAATTAAATGAAAATGTCCAACAAATAATGGAAAATGCGCCAAGAACTTCTGTACGTGTTTTATCACAAATGGTGGGAGTATCAGTCGGTACCTGCCACACAGTGTTAAAAAAAGATTTGCGTTTGTTCTCCTATCGTTTAACTTGTCAGCAAGAACTTCATGAAGTTGATTTTCCGCGACGGGCTGTATTTTGTGAATGGTTTTTAAACAACTACGGTGAACTTCATAATATCACCTTTTTTTCTGATGAAGCCTAGTTTCATTTAAGTGGTTACGTAAACTCACAGAATATGAGAATGTGGTCTTCTGAAAAACCAGATAACTTTTTTGTCGAGGGCCCTCTACACGCTCAAAAAATTGGAGTTTGGTGTGCTCTCAATCGAAGGAGGATTTATGGACCTATTTTTTTTAATGGTACTCTTACTGCGCAAAGGTATAGAGAAGAAATTATCGCTCCTTTTGTTAACCAGCTGGAAGAAAACGAAATTACAAACTTTTACTTTCAACAAGATGGCGCAAGGGCACATACGGCAGGCGAGACGATGAATATGTTGAGGGAAGTTTTCCAAAATCGACTAATAAGTCTCAATTCTGAACATGAATTTCCACCGAGGTCATGTGATACTACGCCGTGTGATTTCTTTTTGTGGCCTTACCTTAAAAACACTATTTTTGAACTGCCTATTCCTGATTTAAACCATCTGCAGGCTCGACTTATAGACAAGATTGGTGAAATTAACAATACCCCGAGCATCTTAGAAAATGTCTTTAATTCTTTGAGGAACAGGTGTGAAAAGTGCTTGAAACAAGGAGGGGGACACTTTCGGCAGCTGCTTTAATTTATTGTTATAACAAGGAGGGGGACACTTTCCGCAGCTCCTTTGTTTGTTATTGTTATCACGATTATTCTTTAAAATAAAGTTATACAAGTCATTAACGTTATTGAAACTGACAGCTGCTATACAGCTCGTTGAGAAATGAGGTTAAGTTGGTCGCTATAAGCTACTCCCTACGTCCAATGTGTCAGAGCCAACTTCGACCACGTTTTTATTTGAACGCTCGTTATATTGAACTATAGTTTTCGAAAGTTTTATCACCTTTTGTTTATAATTGACATTTTTACAGCAACTTTAAAAAATTAACGTTTTATACCGTTTTTTCAATCTCACGGCTTTGTTATTATAAATTTCGTAAACGGATCACCGCCATTTTGTAGCTATATTTATTACGAACAAAATCATGTCCTAAGCATTTTTTCGTACAAAGTCATCCCGCTGAGTTATATAAAGAAAACTACTAAAAAAAAAATTGTTCACTATTAAATTGTTAATAACTTTTTTTCCTGATAAAATACTTTGTCAGCAAATTAGCCTGTTATTGTACTCATCATTTAAAGTAGGCCTGTGTAGTTATTTCCGGGTTATCAAGGTTTGACACAGGCCGAACCTCTACCAACTGGACTATAAAGTTTTCCATTGTTTAACAATAAATCAAACATTCACTGTATGTGTTAAGTTGACAACAATAAATTGGTGACAGATTAAGTGCTTGTTTTGAAGTTTCACTAAAAATTTCACAGCAATCCTCGCAGAAATTACGCGATATCCGTTGACAGCACGAAAAACAGTAAATACCTTAAAAACCAGAAGAGATAGGTATAGGAAACCGTTATATCATTCGAAAGACAACAAAGTTATTCATTAGGTTGCGCAAAAATATACAGGGTGTTCCATTTAAAAAAAATAAGTTAAGATGGTTTAAAGTTGACTAAATTCGGCATTAAATTTCTACCACCCTGTATGGACTTAAGTCATTTGAAATTATGGCAGGGAAACTTAGAGTTTTAGTTATATTCCCTATAAATTTTATCGCTCTAACTTTGTTACTGTAAAATACACATCTTTTTGAATTAGGCAGTACTTCATTCATTTGTTTTAAAATTAAATATATCAAAAACGGTTAACTTTAAGAATAGGAAACCCTTTTGAAAGTTCACCTTAAAATTGACGTTGCAATTGAAATAGATTATGTTGAAAATTTAAATTAAGTACCTATCATAAAAATTGTAGGTCTTTTGTTTTTTATTGCTAAGAGAAATTTTGCTCTAATATCCCCCGCAGAGTTGATTGAGAATCAAGGGGTCGGTCAGTGGTCGAAAAATTATGGAAAAAATGGTTACCGTCTAGTCTGAATTGACGACTACCACGCCACCTGAACTAATATTTGAAAGCGCGAAATATAAACATGCTAGTTAGATACTTTTATTGCAAGTAGGTTTGGTTGGTAGTACCTTTATTTTACATAAGCGATAATTTTGTTCTTTGATTTCAACTAGATTCAACTAAACTAGGCCCCTGCCCGCTAACCTTTTCTGTTTCAGAGACAGCCAGGATCAAGAAACGAAGACAACGACACACACACACATACACACCCCCCATACCCTCCTTACCCCTCCCCTACCGCGCTAGCCTAAGGGCCACCTTAGCAAAGCGCATCCCAGGCTGCATAGCCGCATTGCCCTACCCAACCATACCACACATAAATATGACACAACCCCCGGGGTTTACACAGACGAGCCGGCGAAGCAAGAAGAGCGCCAGAAGAAAGGGCCCTAGCCGGTGGGGCCCAGCCAGGACAAAAGGAGGTCCCACAAAGCGCCTACACCGGCCGCATTTGCGGTCGGGGTAGACGACGGATGGGGCCCACCTACGAAGGCTGTCCAGGCCTACACGAGATGAGGCAGGATAAAGAGGGATAATCCCCCTCGATCCCAAATCATTGAGGCCAATTTCTAGCCATGGAATAATTGCGCGCGAACTAGACTAGGGACTAGAATTTGTTTAATGTTAAATTAATTTATTAATTTATAAAATACCTATTTTGTACATTTTTAAAACATGAAAAAGGTGAAATCAAATATTTACTTTCACATTTCAGAAATATTTTAAAGCTATTGTGCAATATTTTTACATTTTTTTTAACGAAAATGAAATATTTTGCGATATTTTGATATTGTTGTGGTAGCATTTAAAGTATCTTAAACTTTTTTTCGATCGTTGAAAAACATTTTTAAAATATTGCGCGCTGTTAGGGGAATTACGCACGCAATATACAGGGTGTTTCCGAAATGAGCAACATAAATGTAAGCCGACCCTGTGCATCTTGTGCACGTGTGTCGTGCATTGCAACTCCATAAGTTGGTTAGACCCATCAAAATCCGCAACCAGAGTCAACGACCTACCAAAATCCGCGACATGGCGCCCAACGTGGGGCTATGATAGTGTGAGATGGTACTTAGTGTTAACATAGAGGTAAATTAAAAAAGATCACCTTTATTAAATAAATGTTTTCAACCCAAAAGGGTAAATACACAAAACACTTCTTTATTTTCCTAAGAAAAACAATTCTCTTCCAACGGCACAAAATGCTTCGCAATTGTCTTTCAGTTTTTCATGATGCATTTGGGGCAGTTACATTTCCTTCTTCCATAGAGGTCTCAAACGCTTCGCTGAAGGCCGAAGGCGCAACACTCTTCTTAGTGCCTTTCCTTCGCATTTTCCTCAGGTCGTGGTAGCTCCTACGGGTGCCATTTTCGTCGAGTAGGTGCCGCCTCAATTTACCACCTACAACGACAGAAAAACAGCACGCGTACACCGAGGAAAAACTGTATTACCAAATACAGAAACAAAGATTTTGCTAGGATTCACATCCCGGGGTGTTAAATCTGACTTGATGACCCTACTCACCTTCCTGCACTTCTCTCCAGTCGAACTCGTAGTCGTAGGGGTTGGCATCCACGAACTCCTCAGCTTCCACACATAAACTCTGGTACTCCTCGTAACAGAGCTGTTTGTCCAGGTCCGAATCCACGACGGCGTAAGGATCGGGCGGAAGCGGTGGTTTCTCCTTCACCACTTCCGGGAACAGTGCTGCCACCGTGTTGTGGAAGATGGTGTCGCCCTCTTTTAGCCTACAATAATAACTCGCATAAAAGTACTACCGTGACATTTTCAATAGTCATGGTTTTTCCTTCTTTCTTTTTTTAAGATGGTTTTAGTTTGTAATATTGCGCTCCGTACATACCTTTGCTTCTGCTTCCTCTTCTTCATCTCATTCTCCTCCTCCAGCTTCTGCAAGGGCTTCCTCCTCTTTTCCAGTTCCTTCGTATCGAGCTGCTTCTTGCTGATGATCATGCTCTTGATCCTAGCCTCTCTCTCCAACTGCCTCTGTTCGATCATCCACTCGATAAACTTACCTGGAACATCGCAAAAAAAAAACGAGTCTTGTTAGCCACCGAAACGTACGTCTCTTACCGGGCTGGGGGCCCTTGGGGGGCAACTTCTCCTGTGGTTTCTCGTGCAATATCTCGGCGGCTCTCCTACGCCTCTCTTCTTCGTCTCTGTCTTTCCGCTCCCGCAACTCGTCCTCCTTACGCTGGAGGCAGCCGTCGTGCCGTTTGTTCCAGTCGTCTTGCCACGCGACGAACATTTTCTTGCGCTCCACCTCCCTGTCGATGAAGGCGGTGAAGGCCGCCATCTTGCTCGCCACTGTTTCCTTGGTCTCAGCGTTGAAAAAAAACAGACGAAAGGCACCTGCGACATAGTGTTAATAAAGGATTTAATTGTAAGAATGATTTAAAAAAGTATGACTTCGTCAAATAAATAAAAACGACTGTATCCATAAATCTAGGTATTATCACTTTATTAGAATTGCCCTGCAATTGAAACTCTATAGGGTGTCCTGGTACTTGATACAAGCTTATGAAAGGAGCTTTAAGTTAAAAAAAAAAATCGTCAAGATTCGTTGAAAAACAACGGAGTTACAGACTGTCAAAGTTGACGGCCTATTGTTAAACAAATTAGGTTGGTAGCGGCTAAAAAATACTGTCATAACCGGCAACCCGAGTACTTTCCCAAATAAAAATATTTTATTTGTGAAAGTATGTTAAGTGCATAAGAAATATTGTCAAAAGTCAGTGGGTCGCTTGATTTTCGTCGAGCCGTGGCGCGTAGGAGGGGTGGGGGAAGCGAACGACAGCGAGTCCGAAGAAGAAAATGACCATAATATTCATAGTCCTGCCGTTAAAAAAGCGAAATTCGCTTGAAAATAGTATATTTGACAGTCTATAACTGCGTTGCTTTTTAACGAATCTTGACGATTTTTTTTTTAACTTAAAGCTCTTTTCATAAGCTTTCCAAATAGGTATGTAATAATACATAATGGCCAAATGAAAACGAAACAGAATAATTCATCATCAGGCGGGCGGTCATCAGTTTGAACATTTAATCAACTAAGTAGTAAATAAGCAACTAAACATAATTTAAATTTTAAAATGTAATTTTTTTTCAAAGTATTGGGCGGAATTATAAAATTTAAAGTCTGTTGTAAATTGTAAAGAGAATTGTAAGAGCTTTCAAAAGAAATATTACTCAACCCCTAATGCCATTTAAATATTTTGGGGTGATGCTTACCCTTGCTTGGGGGTGAAAGTGGCGGAGTCAAAAATACCAGCAAAGAATGTCCCCTTTTAATCTAAAATCGACGGGTCTAAACGATTTTCTACAATCGTGACGCAGTTCCTGAAAATGGCTCTGTCTCGTTTTCATTTGGCCACCCTGTATATAACTATCTCACGCTCGTACGTTGCATATTTCATTTTACAAGTAAGACTAAAAAATAAAAAAACCTTCCAAATTGCATAATTTAAATTTAAAAAAAAATGATAGATTTCAATGTATTATTATGAAATCCACCGTAAAAAATCAGTGCGATTGTGGAAGTTGCTCGGGATCGTCCAGACTAAAATTAGTTAATTTGTTTACAAGGCCATAACTTACCGATTCCAGATTTCGTGCGAGTTATTAGACAGTGATAAGGAATGAGAGGATGCGATGCCAAAACGTTCTGGTAATAATAATAATAATGCAGTTTATAAATGTTTAATTCAAAAGTCATAAATAAACTTCTTCTGTTGATAATTTTGATCTAATCAATATTTTTTGACGCTCGAGGGCTAGTTTTGTTGGTATTTTGAAGACGAAAGAAAAAGTACTTTACTGTTTTCTCGTGGAAATGAACGGAAAAAAGTTATAAGCGAAAAACGTGAATTTACGTAAAAATTATACAATTAACCACCCTGTAAACAATCTTCCCCCCATTTTTATGACTGTGGAAACTAATATGTTATTGTACATAATTATATTTATTATATAGTGATAAATTCAGCTTGCCGAAACAAAAAGTCGCGTCCAACTCTATATTTATGTCCAATTCTGGGTTGTTAACCATTGGCATAGTCCGTCCCTGTCGTTCTGGGCATAATGAAGTTTCACTTACATTAAAAACAAGCTGTACGCATGTGTTATCACCAAATTTGCATCATGCTGAAGTTAACAGTTTAGAGACTGTAAATTAAAACAACTTTTTAATTTTCACCTTTGAGGGCCCGTAACTTATTAACGAAGGCCCGTATGGGCCTTAAAAAAATGTATATGAAGAACTGATATTATTTTGACCTCATCTATTTGTATGCGACTTTTTTATATCAGGTACCGGGACACCCTGTATATTGTTTTATTTCAAGGCAAAAATAATTTAAGGTATGACATTTGTAAATATCCCGATTCCGTTCTAGTTCTATGATGTTCAGTGATTCCATGGTTATGAAGATGTTTTAACATTTAGAAAAACTTTGCCATAGGTTCGTAAGTGACGGAAATTTCAAAGTAATAGAAGAAATTGATAAGGAAGTCTTTTGTTGCGACTAGTAAGGAACTTCCTCTGCAATTTCTTAGCATATTGCTGGTGTAGGATAAATTTTAGAGTGAGAAAGATGAGGACTCTATAATGTGCATGTTCCTTAAAACTGTCTCTGCGGCATTCTATTGGTAAAGGCTATGTAAATTGCAGTACAATTAACAGTATTGAATTTGTGTCAATCTTTTAATGTAACCGCAGTGTAACATGGTATTTCTAAGATAGGCAATACTACATTTCAAATTAAGCGCCGTAAGACGGCATATTTTCTATGAAGTCTGTGATTGGTCGCACTTTTCTATTTAGTGCTATTACCGGTGTTTGCCGTTTGTTATTTTTTATCTAATAGTAAGAAATAAACCGAGTCTCTAAAACAAAGCTGTTCGATTATTTTGCCTCACCTTGCTTATCCCCGGCCCCGTATATGTCCTTCTTCAGCTTCAAAGGGTGCATGGCGGCCGCTGTGATGTACTGACTAGAATACATGACGGATTTCACTGGATACTTGCTGCTGTTCGCCAATACCCAATCCTCTATGTGACCGCTCATCAGCAGAATTGTGAACATGTAGGGCTGGTGAAAGGGAGTAACCGAAGCGAAAGAGATTTAGAGAGACCGTCAATGATATTTACACAAAATACCCACTGACACAGACCAGGGGCATTTAGGGATAAAATAAAAATAAATAAATAAATAAATAAAATAAATCCAATCGAAAAAAGTTGAACGAGAAAGTAACAGCTATTGAAAAAATATTTTAAAATATATCGATTGCTGTATTACTTTTCGAGATATATCGAAAAAACCGTCAAAAATCGATTTTTCTTGTTTTTGGTATATCTCTCGTAAATTAAGGTTTTGAAACTTGTTACTTGCTGTAAATGTAGTCCTCGGCAAGCAAAAAAAAGCGCCTTTTTTAAATTAAAAAATATTAAAAATTTTTCGAGTTATATCGATTTTTCGAAAAAAAAGGTCATCAAGAAAATCGGTCCTTCTTGCTCGACGAATAGACGTAGAGAAACGAATCAGGGCTCATTTTTTTCCTTAAGAGTTGTACTTTCATGGTAAAAAAGGGTGATAACGAGTTTATTCATTTCAACTGTCCAAAGTTGGTTTTGAAAAAAGTAAAAATTTTTTGGTCGCGTTTTTCTTGAATAACTTTTTCGATTTTCATTTCTCGATAATGTCTATTACAGGAATCGATTACTGGCACTTTGGAGCCGATATATATA